ATGATAAAAAAAATTCTTGAAATAGATGGTGGAGATGGCTGCACAACAGTGTGAATGCACTTAATGCCATCGAACTGTATACTTTAAAAATGGTTAAAATGGCATGGAACTGGTGAATCACTATATTGTACACCTGAACCAATATAACACTATGGGTTAACTACACTGGAATTAAAATTTTAAAAATTTTTAAAAAATGGTTAAAATGGGAAATTCTGTTGTATATTTTACCACAATAAAAACAAAAGAAAATTTAATAATGTGTTTCTAAGTATGTGGAGAAATTAGTATCATCATACAGTGCTGTAAAACAGTGCAATCACTTTGAAAAACAGTCTGGCAGTTCCTCAAAAAGTTAAACACAAAATGGACAAAGGCCTTAGTATTTCTCCAAAGAAGATTAACACAGATGGCCAATAAACATATGAAAAGATGCTTGTTTCGTATTCTTTTATGAGCAGTCAGTGAGGTGTGTCCATAAGAGGAGTCTGAGAAGAGGCTCAGGAAAACAAAGTTTATTATACCTACAGGTCCTAGAGATAGAAGGCATGGCATGGACTATGTAGAAAAGCTACCAGGGTGGTTAGGGGACAGAAGACAGGAGCAGGGGCAAGGGTTAGGCCAGAGCCTTTACTGGGGTTTCCAAATGAAAGGCAAGACAGGGCAGGGTGAACAGTTTAGGATTGGCTAGTTTAACTTATTTGGTATTTGGTGGTATTTGGGCTTTGATTTCCTACCTTTTTTTTTTTTTTTTTTTTGGCCAGCTGTCACAAATTGATTTCTTTATGAACATTTCAAAATGCAATTAAGCAAAAGAGAATACTTTTTTATTAAGCTATCTAATGTTTTTATCAAATAATGATTTTAAATTCTTAAGTTATTTTATTTCCAAGAGTGGGATTGGATAGAATGATATAATGAATGATAATATTCTATAAGGTAATATCATATGTAGCCCTGATGGTTCAACAGGTTCAAATCAGGAAGTTCCCATTAGAATTGTTTTTTCTGCCTCTCTGTGTTCAATCTATACTGTAAGTTGGCGTCAGAAACTATTCTGTCCTTCATCTGTAAAAATGGAGACCACTATGAAAGGATCTCACTTATTTATTCCTTTTTTCCAACTGTCCATTTGTTCCTGTATCCCAGGATATAAGGATGATTGACCCTGTCTCCGTAAGAAATACGGTGGAGATAGATTTGTAATTAGCTGTAATTCAATGTGATGACTGCCATAAAAGTAAGTCATTTAGGATGCCATGAGGGCACAGTATTGACAGTACTTGTATGTATTAACTGTCTTTCAGTGTTCCTGAAAACTCAGTTTGGTACCATTACCTTTGAATGGGAATGACTTTGCATTTTTGCCTGATAAGTGTCTATAGTCAAATAATATGATTTCTTTATATAATAGAAATAAGTTCCTATTTCAGTTATTACATTTTCCAATTCAATTCACCTTCCAGTCCATCTTATCAAACTTCACTTAAAAATCAATACACTGGGGCGCCTGGGTGGCTCAGTTGGTTAAGCGACTGCCTTCGGCTCGGGTCATGATCCTGGAGTCCCGGGATCGAGTCCCACATCGGGCTCCCTGCTCAGCGGGGAGTCTGCTTCTCCCTCTGACCCTCCCCCCTCTCATGCTCTCTGTCTCTCATTCTCTCTCTCGCAAATAAATAAAATCTTAAAAAAAAAAAATCAATACACTGGGGGCGCCTGGGAGGCTCAGTCGTTAAGCATCTGCCTTTGGCTCAGGTCATGATCCCAGGGTCCTGGGATTGAGCCCCGCATTGGGCTCCCTGCTCAGCGGGAGCCTGTTTCTCCCTCTCCCTCTGCTGCTCCCCTTCCTTGTGCTCTCTCTCTCTCTCTGTCAAATAAATAAATAAAATCTTAAAAAAGAAAAAAATCAATACACTGAAGGCCCCTGGGTGGCTCAGTCCATTAAGCGTCTGCCTTCAGCTCAGGTCATGATCCCAAGGGTCCTGGGTGGAACCCTGCATCGGGCTCCCTGCTCAACTAGGAGCCTGCTTCTTCCTTTCCCTCTGCTTGCCACTCCCCCTGCTTGTGCTCTCTCCCTCTCTCTCACGCTATCAAATAAATAAATAAAGCTTTAAAAATTAATACACTGAAACATGTCTTTTTCCTAAAAACATTGTTGGAGTAGAAGATCATGCTTCTGAGCTGATTAATTTTTTTCTTGATATAGAAAATAACATTTATCTAGTTGTTTTTAGGCAGCACAAGACCATTGAGCTCTCCAAGAACCCAATCTGAGATTTGCAAAGCTGCCAAAATATTTTAAGACAAATGAGAATATGTTAACATACATGTTGTCAACTGTTTCATATTTGTGTTTCAGAGATAATAAGTTTCTAATGAGCCACAAGAGCCCTGTGGGATTAAGGATGTAAATTTCAAAATCTAGATTCCTTCCTGTATTATCATATTTGGCTGGAGTTCTGTTTTCTCTAAATGTGAAAATACCAAGTCATAATTTCTCAAGAGGGATGCTTATTACGTTATTAAAAACAATGAATTACATTACAGGATAAATAACAGCAGGCCAAGCATAGACCAATGATGAAAGTTTGTCATGAACTAAAGATTGTGATTAATCCAATTTTGTTCATTTGACTAGAATTGGAAGGAGAAAGGAAAAAAGGGAAGGATGGATTATATTACAGAGTTTATAGTGGGTTTACAGAAAGAAGGAAGAATAAATTGATTTGAGTTTACAGTGAAATTTGAACTCACAACCAGGGGTTGTGAGACTAATCTTTTAACCTTTGTGTACACAGACACATTTTGTGTACACACACATTTTGAAGAAAACGATAAGCAAAAGCAACACCTAAAGTCTGCAGTGCCTAATATAGTGCTTATTAGCATATAATATGGTCATTATACATGTTTCTGGAGATTGTTTAAAATTCTATTTTGGTTTTTTTTTTTTAAGATTTTATTTATTCATTTGAGACACAGAGATATAGAGGGAGAGGGAGAAGCAGGCTCCCTGCTGAGCCAGGAGCCCGATGTGGGGCTCGATCCCAGGACCCTGGGATCATGACCTGAGCCGAAGGCAGACCCTTAACTATCTGAGCCACCCAGGTGCCCCAGAATTCTCTTATTTTGTTTTTTGTTTTTTTGTTTTTTTAAAGATTTTATTTATTTATTTGACAGAGAGAAAGAGATAGCGAGAGCAAGAACACAAGCAGGGGGAGTGGGAGAGGGAGAAGCAGGCTTCCCGCCGAACAGGGAGCCCGATGTGGGACTCGATCCCAGGACCCTGGGATCATGACCTGAGCCGAAGGCAGATGCTTAACGACTGAGCCACCCAGGCGCCCAGAATTCTCTTATTTTGAAAGAAGGTTTTGAGTTAAAGCAGGAGTTGGCACTTTACAGCCCACAGGCCAAATCTGGCCTGCGATCTGCCTTTGTAAATAAAGTTTCATTAGAGCGCTGAGTTCATTTATTTATGTATTGTCTATGTTTTTGCACTACGGTTGCAGAATTGAGTAGTTTGGAAAGTGACTATATGTCCCACAAAGCCCAAGATACGTACTCACGGCTTTTTACAAAGTAGGTGGCCAACCCCTGAGTGTAATCCTCAGTTTCAGCCATACACAATTGTGTTATTTCTTATAATCCAATGAGCTTTGTAAAGGTAATATATTTGTTGTGTTGAAAAATGTTTTGATCCCCTGGTTTTCCCCAACTTTTTCGTACTTAGAAAAAACTTTGAAGAACATCTTATACCTTTAACATAGATTAGGTAAAATTTTGCCATGTTTGCTTCATCTGTTCATCTCTCTCCGTGTACATGTATACATACATGCCTTTTTTTTTTTTTTTGCTGCTGCTGAATTATTTGAAAGTTACAGATATTGTGCTCCTTCAGCATACACCTCTAAGAATGAGAGCATTTTGCTATACAACTGTCTTTTCTGTAGCACTTTGTTCATCTCTGTGTTCCCATTTATAAACTGTAGAAATTCTAAGTATTGTACATTAGTTATCTATTGCTTACTTGTGGTAGCCTGAATAATGAATGGCCCCCTAAAGATTTCCATGTCCTAATCCCTGAAATCTGTGTATATGTTACCTTACATGGCAAAGAGGACTTTGCAGATGTAATTGAGGAATTAAAAATATATCCTGTATTATGTGATGGGCTCAGTGTAATCACAAGGGTCCTTACAAGAGGGAGGCAGGTGAGTTAAAAGCAGAGGTGATAAGTAGTAAGAGAAATGTGACAGTACCACAGCTGCTCACATTGAAAATGGCAAGGCTCAGGGCGCCTGGGTGGCTCAGTTGGTTAAGCGACTGCCTTCGGCTCAGGTCGTGATCCCGGGGTCCCGGGATCGAGTCCCGCATCGGGCTCCCTGCTCGGCAGGGAGTCTGCTTCGTCCTCTGACCCTATCCCCTCTCATGTGTTCTCTCTCTCTCCTTCTCTCTCTCTCAAATAAATAAAATCTTTAAAAAAAAAAAAAAGAAAAGAAAATGGCAAGGCTCAGAGTTTTCACACCCAATTTCAAAGCCATCAACTCCTTTTTTTTTTAAACAATCCTTAATTTCTCTCTCCTTTTGCATTTTACTATAATTATCAAGAAAAAACTTGGTGGCATCTTCAACATTTCCTTGCTTGGAAATTTCTTTAGCTGGACTATCCAGTTCATTTGCCTCATTTTCTACTTTCTGTATAACTGCAAGTGACAGGGTTGCTGAACTTTCTGTTACTACATAACAAAGATCCCCCTGCCTCCAGTTTCTAATCAGATGTCCCTACCTTCCTTAAAACCTTATAGGCAGCCTCCTTAAAGTCCTTATAGCTACCTCCTACTGCCCAATTACAAATAGAACCCTACTCGGGCGCCTGGGTGGCTCAGTTGGTTAAGCGACTGCCTTCGGCTCAGGTCATGATCCTGGAGTCCCTGGATCGAGTCCTGCATCGGGCTCCCTGCTCGACGGGGAATCTGCTTCTCCCTCTGACCCTCCCCCCTTTTATGTGCTCTCTCAAATAAATAAAATCTTTAAAAACAAAACAAAACAAAACAAATAGAACCCTACTCATGACACCAAAATCTGTATTAGTTATCTACTGGCACTTGAAAATTTTAAGGTGATTAGCAGCTCAAAACAGCAAGCATATTATTACACAGTTTCTGAGGACTAGGAATCCAGGTGCAGTTTATCTAGATGCTTCTGGTCCAGGTCTGTCGTGAGGTTGTAGTCACACTGTCAGCCAGAGTGGCAGGCATTTCAAGATTCAATTGGAAGAGGGTCCCTTTCCAAACTCACTCACGTGACTGTTGGCAGGTCTCAAGTCCTTGTCAGTCACTGGTTGGAGATATCAGTTCTTTGGCACAGAGACCTCTGCATGAAGCTGTTCACAGCATGCAGCTGGCTTTCCTCAGAGCAAGGAAGCAAAGAGCAAGAGAGATTACCCAAGAGAGAAGATACAGACTTCTTGTGACCTAATCTCAGAAGTAACATCCCATCATTTCTGCCATATTCTAGTTGTTAGAAGCAAGTTACTAGATTCAGTTCACACTCAAAGGAAGGGGATTACACAGGTCATGGATACCCGGCAGGAAACGTAGGGGCCCAATCTCAGAGGCTGCTTACCACAGATAACAAGACACTTGTATCTCAGAATGAGCCACAAACACTTTTAGTGTGAAAACAGTTTATTAGAGAAAGTTTAATCTCCATAAGATCAAGCCACATTCAGAGTTTGGCCTCATAACATTTCTGAGAGTTTCTCCTATAACTTGTAGAAGTTTGACCATCTGAAACCCTTAGGGAATCAGTCATTCTAGTCAAGTTTCTGGATAGATCTGTCCCAGATCAAATCTTAATTAATAATTTGGTGTAGAATTCCTTCTGTATTTGATCACATGCTTCCTTACCTTCTTAAATAAATTACTGACCATATTTTAAAATTTTATTTCATCAAAAGAAAATTAATCATTGTATGTGTTATATAGGAAAAATGCTGCCCCCCCCCTTACACAGGATATAGAATTGTCTCTTTTTTTTTTTTTTTTAGATTTTATTTATTTACAGAGAGAGAAAGAGATGGCGAGAGAGGGAACACAAGCAGGGGGAAGTGGGAGAGGGAGAAGCAGGATTCCCGCTGAGCAAGGAGCCCAATGTGGGGCTCAATTCCAGGACTCTGGGATCATGACTTGAGCCAAAGGCAGACACTTAATGACTGAGCCACCCAGGCGCCCCTGTTGGTCTCTTTCTTAACTCAAGGCTTCCTGTCTGCCTTTTTATAATTTGTGTCTTGTTTTGTCACTTTGCAGTTACCAGTACTTGCCCATTGCCTATATGATTGCTGTATCTAATTGCTGTTAGTTGAAACTAAATAACTTAGGTTGAATAAAACCCTGTGTGAAGGAAAAGGGACCTGTGGAGGGTTGAATCTGCAGTCTGCACGTCACATTAATGACATTTACTAACTGCTGCTAGTTGCTCCCAGACTTTTGTTTACATTTTAGTTGTAAATTGTTAACTACATATAGGTGAGGCTGCAGTAATGGTGAAGTGGTATTGGGCTTAGTGGGTCAGTTCCTAATTAATTTTATGAGAAAGCTGAAAGTGACCTGAGGACAAATAATCAGTATTGTATATTGCTTGCTTCAGACAATATTCTGAACCTTTTCTTTCTTGGATTTTTGAAACTTCTCAGGCAATTTAGGCAAAGTCTCCTCCCTTCTTTAGCTCTGTATTCTAGGTAATTTCACAATTAAAGGCTGTACTTATAATAAAGTTAATTATACTTCACTTCAAAAATCTGAACCTGATTTCAGACTATAAACCCAAAGCAGCAAATATAATTTACTTTTATATTTGAGTGATTTCTTTGGAAATTCTGTCTGTTGGCAGCCATAGCCTCTCAAATGGAAACACACTGTCAGTACCACAAGTAAAAGCTATTAAGCTTTTAAATATGTGGAACTCACATTTTTATATGCATTTCTTTTAGACTTTATTAAGTGCTTTGCTCTGAGTGGCTCAAAAGCAGTGCAGTAACCTTATAACTTGTTAAACACAGACCTGGAAGGCCTACTAGAGAGGGTGAAGGTGGAACTGAGAAAGCAGTCCCCCTTTGATACTCAGGCTTTGAGAAACTGCCTTCAAACTCACCAAGTATCAGAGCTCAGAGGGGAGCAGTTTAAAACCTCTTAGTCTTTCCTCATACCTCCAGTCTCTTGCAAATAATTAACAGTAAAGCTAAAGACTATGGGAATTACATGTCTCTCCTATCTTTTTTTTTATCTTTTTTCTCTGTACAACACAGAATTTCTTTTCCAGTAGTGGTATGTTCCTCTATTTAGCAATTCCATAAATAGTGGCAACCTCCAGACACAAGTTACCTACCAGGACTTCAGAGAGTGTACATACTATGGGTGTACCTTCATACATGGAGAAAGAACACTGGCCAAAAAAACAAAAGAGCCAGCTGAGGAAGCACAACTGTAATTAGCCTCAATCTTCATATACAGAATTTCAGTCAACTTCTTGTGCTTCAAAGCCAAGACGCACAGGATATTTGCAGAACTTCTCTAGCACGAAAGAGACCAAAAGAAAGAGAAAAGGGAATCACAGAGGAAATAATGTAATGAGCAAAAGAAAATGTAAATGATAGGGCGCCTGGGTGGCTCAGTCGTTAAGCATCTGCCTTCGGCTCGGGTCATGATCCTAGGGTCCTGGGATCGAGTCCCACATCGGGCTCCCTGCTCAGTGGGAAGCCTGCTTCTCCCTCTCCCACTTCCCCTGCTTGTGTTTCCTCTCTCACTCTGTCTCTCTCTCTGAAATAAATAAATAAAATCTTAAAAAAAAAAAAATGTAAATGAACTAGAATTAATGTTCTTGTAGAAATAAGACGAAGGAATAAGAACAAGATGATTTTTGGGCGCCTGGGTGGCTCGGTCAGTTAAGCGTCTGCCTTCAGCTCAGGTCATGATCCCAGGGTCCTGGGATCGAGTCCTGAGTTGGGCTCCCTGCTCAGCGGGAAGCCTGCTTCTCCCTCTGCCTGCCACTCCCCCTGCTTGTGCTTTCTCTCTCTCTGACAAATGAATGGATAAAATCTTTATTTAAAAAAAAAAAAAAAGAACAAGATGGTTTAAAAAAACAGAATTTAAAAATATGAGAGATGAAATTTAAAATCAGTAAAGTTGAGAAAATCTCTTAGAAAGTAGAACAAAAGGACCAATAGATGACTTGGAAAGAAAAAAAAATTAGAGGCTTTATTCAGGTGGTCCAGTATTTGACTAATTGGAGAAAAATAGGGGCGCCTGGGTGGCTCAGTCATTGAGTGTCTGCCTTCAACTCAGGTCATGGTCCCAGGGTCCTGGGATCGAGCCCCGCATCGGGCTCCCGGCTCAGCGGAGAGCCTGCTTCTGCCTCTCCCACTCCCCCTGCTTGTGTTCCCTCTCTCGCTGTGTCTCTGTCAAATAAATAAAATGTTTAAAAAAAAGAAAGTGATGATGAGGAAATAATCAATGTTGTAATATAAGGACATTTCCAGGACCAGAAGGACATGTATCTCCAGTATGAATGAAGAAAACGAGTCTCATCAAGACACATTATCATGTAATTATAGAACACTAGGGGTAAAAAGAAAATTCTTAAAGCTTCTAGAGTGAAAACAAAGGTCATATAGAAAGGACCAGGAATTAGAATCATATCAGCCTTGTCAACCCAAACATGGGAAACTAGAAGAGAGTGGAGCAATGCCATAATTTCAAAAAGAAAATTACTTATCTAGAATTACATAACCAGATAAACTTTCAATCAAGTATTAGGATAAAATAAAGACATTTTCAGACATGCAAAATCACAAAAGATTTGCCTTTTTAAAAAAGATTTATTTATTTTAAAGAGATAGGAGTTGGGGAGGGCAGAGGTAGAGAGAGAATCTCAAACAGACCCCCGCTGAGTACAGAGACCGACACGGGGCTTGATCTCACAACCCTGACACTATGACCTGAGCTGAAATCAAGAGTTGGACACTTAACCAACTGAGCCAGCCAGAGGCCCCCAAAATTTGCTTCTTATACACCCTTTCTCAGGAGCTACTGAAGAATGTACCAAAGATGATGGATTAACCAAGTAAATGGAAGACCTGGGCAAGGAAATGGGAATCAAAACCAGAGAGGTGTGAAGAATATCCAGGATAGATATTCTTGGAAAATCCCAAGACAACACCTGAGCAGGAAACCTAGAGAACAAGCAGTTCAGATGGAAGTAAACAGAGGGTTTCAGGAAGGATGTTTTGGGAAAGGGGAAAAAATGAAAGAGGGAATGTAAATGCCAAGAATCATATATTACCTAGAGCAGAAATCTCCCACTGAAGTCAGTACTGTTGGGAATGCATAAACTATAAATGATGAATTGCCAGAGGCTCAGTGAGAGTTCAAAAGATTGAGAGTTTAAAAACTCCAGGGGCACAGTCTTAGGGAACCCCCCCAAACTCTCATGAATTTTACCTCCAGGAGCCCCACAAGGTTCTCTGGGTGAAGATCAGAGAAAAATCCCCGGTGCTCTGACAGAGGGAAGGGGAAAGTAACCATTTTAAAATAAGCTTGGGGGCGCCTGGGTGGCTCAGTTGGTTAAGCGACTGCCTTCGGCTCAGGTCATGATCCTGGAGTCCTGGGATCGAGTCCCGCATCGGGCTCCCTGCTCAGTGGGGAGTCTGCTTCTCCCTCTGACCCTCTTCCCTCTTGTGCTATCTCTCATTCTCTCTCACTCAAATAAATAAATAAATAAAATTTTAAAAATAAATAAGCTTGGGATACTAACAACAGCTTGAGTTCAAAGTAGACTATTTTGCCAAAGCCTAACCAGCTTGGGAGAAGGGAACTGCCCAACTCTAGCCCCTCCAGTTTTTCTGTCTTACCTAAAGGGGAGGGAGGGGAAGCTGAGAAGCACTTAACAATGGTTACAGCCCAGGCACACAGACTCACTAAAATACTTAGATGTAATTATGGGAGTATAGAACACTTTCTCCCCCACCCCCCAAACACACATACCATGCCACCACACCAATCAGGCTCTTGTATAATAACAGTGGATTACTACTAAAAGAACTACAATGCTCAGATTCTATTTTTAAAAGAAGTCTCTAGGGAAACCCCAGAACAACAAGGAGTACAAAAACAAGGACACTTGAAAAATTTTAGCCTCTGATACGTACAGTTCCAACAAACAGTGAACACAGGCTGATTCCTAGCCAGATAAACTTAAAACCTCACACTAAAGGCTTATTTACTTTGTCCCTTTTACTCAGTATATCATGTCCACTTCTAACAAAAAAAGCTACAAGATGTGCTAAAAGGCAAAAAAACAGTTGGAAGAGACAATAGAAAGTATTCCAACTGGATTCATATATGCCAG